TGTTTGAGCTCAGAGGTGTCTCTGTATTTCCTAATGCAGAGTCCTAGGTCAGGGCACACTGAACTTGGGGCTCTCTGGGGCTCTGCCAGCTGTGGGGGCTCTGGCCTCTCCAAGGCTTCTTTCTTAGGGTTTTGTGAGAATTAAATGAGACCATGAGTCTCTACTGTGTTTGAAAACTACCAAGTGCTACGTGAACTTGAGTTGGGGCGGGTAGTTCATCATTTCTGATCTCCAAGGTTCTGGCCACATACAAGCGTGACATTTGTCTTATGAGATAAGAAATGGCCTTGATGCTGGCTCCGGACAACAACGGGGAAACATCTTGGCAAAAGATAAGAAGGAAGAACGAGTTTTTCCACTAGCCTCATGGTTCTACCGATGCTATCATCTTCTAGCAAAATGCCAACCGAAGTGACAAGGAGAATGAACTGGCCTGCCTGGTCCCTGCCCCCCAGGCCTGACCTTCTCTGTCCTTTCACACTGACCACTGAGTTGTGGACCGGGAGTGGCAGCCATCTACTACTGGGACACATGAATCTCACTCATAGGAAGAAAGGGGTGGATCGTGCTGGGTGTGTGGGTACCACCCTCAACTTTCTCCTTCCTGGCGGTGCCTGGAAGTTAACTCCCAGAAGAGGGTGAGCTGGTGAAGTACTAAAGGAGCCAGGGACAGCCTCTCCTTCAGTTCTATGCTTTCTCCTGGACATGACAGCCTATGGATTAGATGGAAAAGTGACTTAATTTTTTTTTTTAATTTCAGAGAGGAAGGGTGAGGGAGAGAGAGATAGAAATATCAATGATGAGAGAGAATCATTGATTGGCTGTCTCCTGCATGTCTCCTACTGGGGATTGAGCCCACAACTTGGGCATGTGCCCTTGACTGGAATCGAACACGGGAGTCTTCAGTCTGAAGGCGGATGCTCTATCCACTGAGCCAAACTGGTTGGGATTACATAAGCATTTTTTATTTTCCAATATTGCCAGCAGCATGGGAGCGCAGCAGGTCATCCACAAAAATCTGCTGTAAAAAAAAAAAGGGAGGGAGGGAAGGAGAGGGGGAGGGAGGGGGGGAGGGAGGGAGGGAGGAAGAAAAGCCAACCTCTGCACTGGCTCATAATAAGACAAGAACCAAATCCCTTAGGAGGCTAGTGGGCATGAAGTGAGGACACTCACATTGTTGGACAGGGACTTTCCACCAGTCATGGTGGACTCACCACCCTCTTCCTAAGGACCTTCCTCTTTGGGGTCATAAAGAAGTAAACATCCAGCCTGACCGGTTTGGCTCAGCGGTTAGAGCGTCGGCCTACAGACTCAAGGGTCCCAGGTTCGATTCTGGTCAAGGGCATGTACCTTGGTTGCGGGTACATCCCCAGTGGGGAGTGTGCAGGAGGCAGCTGATCGATGTTCCTCTCTCATTGATGTTTCTAACTCTCTATCCCTCTCCCTT